CCTAGCATTATTTTACCAGTTGTCGTTATGGAACCTTGGACGGTGGAGCACCGCGTTTTCGCCTATGATTGTTTCGTCCGAAATAATGAGTCAGTCATCGTCGTACAGCGTGAGTTTCGTCGCCACTTCAGCATTCATCGGAATAGAGCTGTTCCCTCTCGAAACACCGTCCTTCGTTGGGTTGAATCACTTCGCAGTCGTGGTGAACTGATCAACAGAAGACCAAGAGGAGCGCCGCGAACAGTTCGAACTCCTGAAAATGTTGAACGCGTTCGACAGGTCTTTCTTCGCAGTACGACTCGATCTGCCCGGAAACATGCTGCTGCACTTCGCCTTAGTGATCGTTCGGTAAGGCGAATTTTGCATATGGATCTCCGCTTTCACCACTACAAATTGGCCATTGTACAACAGTTACAACCCGGAGATTATGCACAACGAATGAACTTCGCAGGTGAGATGGAAGCACTGATCGATCAAAATGAGAACCTCATTTTGTTTGTGAGTGACGAAGCCCACTTTCACCTAAACAGCATAGTTAACCAGCAGAATTGTCGTTATTGGACTAATGAAAATCTGCAACAGTTACACGAAAGACCGCTGCATAGCCCAAAAGTAACGGTTTGGTGCGCTGTATCGCAAATTTGCACCATTGGCCCTTACTTTCCAATACGGTAATGGTCGTGATGTTACCGTGAACTCAGAGCGCTTCGTCGACATGATCACCAACTTCTGTCTCCCTGAATTACGACGGCGACGTGTTCCAATCCGACGTGTGTGGTTCCAGCATCCATGGACGTTATTCGCCCTCTCTTCCCTGGTCGCCTTATTTCCAGTTTTGGCGATGTTCATTAGCCTCCTCGGTCCCCAGATTTATCCATATGCAATTTTTTCTTATGGGGACACCTCAAGGCTAGAGAATACGCGAACAAGCCCCAAACTCTGGAGGAATTGAAGGGCGAAATTCGCGTGGAACTCGCCCAAGTTGAGAGAATGATGTTGGAGAGAGTCTACGCGAACTTCGAAGAACGCCTCCAGCACTGCATCAACGATTTCGGCCGCCACATACCTGATGTGATTTTCCACACTTGACTGTCTCAAATGCTATTTCCTTGTGAACCTGATTGCATCAATAAATTGGTTTTCGAGTAAAAATTAACTATTTTATGATTTGTCTAAAACCATCCATCCTCTCTGCCCCACCCTGTATAAAGACAAAACCTAATAAATTTATTCTGCACTCCTTCGAGAGTTAGACAGTTTTGCATATATTCCTACAAAGACTCCACAAGTGACATGTATAATTTTTACAAGCTTCGATAGATAGCATGTAACATAAAACCAATTACTTTAGAAGCCTTATGTACAATAAAGTTTATATGTGTGTTGTTTATCAAAAAGTATACCACGACCTTTCATGACATTACTATATTCAAGATGTGTACAGTACAAGAAGCGTTCACCTCCACTTTTACGAAACCAATGTAGTTACATTTACCAATATTTAATGATTAATTACTAATACACCGATCACTCTGTCTATTCAAGTAATTTTGCAACAATATTAAATCCTGCTAAGAACCAAACCCCCGATAAAATTTTAGATCATCCGCGAAGATCAAAACCGTTTACTGTTTCTAAAACAAACTTAAATGTAATTTATAAAAAGTAAGTAACGGAGTACAACGACTACCCTGAGGTACACCATATGAAATACTGATATACTGAGACCTGGCACTGCCTATCCGCACCTGTTGAAATCTATCAGAAAGAAAAGTTGAAAACCAAGCCCTTATAATATCAAGAAGCTAAAGAGGCTCAATTTTTCCAACAAGATGAATGAATGAAAACACGACATTAGAGGCATACCGGCCACCATAAGGAGCCAGCGCATAGGCCACTCAGACGGGCCCTTGTGCACCTCCACATTTCTTAGACCTCAAGCCTCGCCATTCTAGCGAAGTTGAGTATGACCTTGAGTCCAACCTCCTTAATGTCCTGGAGGTCCAAAGTGATAGACCCCAGTATAGTCTGCCTGTAGTGGCTAAGAGCCTCGCAGCGACACAGAACGTGCGCCAAGGTATCTTCTTCTACCTCACAGCGCTCACACAAGGGATGCTCAGGCACCTCCATCACGGCGCCTTAACGTGTTATGGCCAGGCAACAGTCCCACCAGCAACCTTAGGTTGGCTCGATCCAAAGATAAGCAGAAACGTCCATCCTTAGTATTGGGCCCTGCAATGAGTTCCCGTGCCTGACGTGAATGTTTGGAGATGCTTCTCCATTTCTGAGAGTGTAGTCTTGCAATCCACTTACTTACACTTTATATGTGTATATACCGGGTGACTTCGAAGTTGAGTCATTTATTTTAACAGTGAGTAGATCTGATCAAAAGAAATGTTTTTTTCCTTTGCCATTTTTCTGGTAAAATTAAAGTAACAAAGTTATAGCCCTTTGGAAGTTTGAGTACCACCCTGTCTCAATAATATCATGTGCTCGTGTTTGGCAACAACGGGTATAATCCGCCTTATCGGTTCATCGCATCGGAAACAAAAAAGCGAAGGAATTTGGAACGATGTTTTTACAATTATGTTATTCAGTTCAGTTATACATACAGTCAGTGTCAGTCGCGTGTGAATAGTGTCTGTTGCGTGGTTCAAACGAAATAAAAAATGGCACATGTTTATGCGGATCGGTTTCCCAATCGAGTGCAACCAACCCCTCGTGCCTTTGTTAATGTAGTACAACGGGCTCGTGAATCAAGTGACTTAAGACCTCACAGGGGACCTCACGATCAAATACAGGTCCGCACTGAAATACTTGTCGGGAGGATACTTTATAAAACAAGGTAAACATTTTTTTTTTAATTTTTTTTTATTTTTACACACATATTTTGGTTTATCTTCCTTCTACAATCATTATCTGAAAATTAATGACTCAACTTCAAAGTCACCCTGTATGTGTGTGTATACATGTGTATATATGGTACCATTTTGTTTTGATTTCACTATTTTCCTGTGATTGGGTGTATACCTGTTGGAAATAAATATACAGGGTGTCCGCAAAGTTGGGGTTTTGCTTTTCAGAAACAACTACCCTTGAAATAACAAAGGTAATGTGTAGTGAAACGAGGGCGACCAAGTAAAAAAAAATAAAGGAAAAAGTACTCACTCTCCAGTTGACGAGAAGGGCTAAGTACGTCTCTGCCCGAAATCATACCGCTCCAACAGAAAATGAAATCAGCTGATGCGCTACCGAGCAGACCCCGGCGGTGGTGCAGACCAGTAGACCACGAACAGAGGTAACAAATATGACCATCGTACAGAAACCACATTGATTGTCTTACACTTAATGGCACATCTTCTAAGAAGGAAGGCAAAGTGTTGCGTAAAAAGTCTAGGTATTGCATCCCGTCCAATCGATTTGGGAGAATAAATGGTCCAATAAGCATACCGTTCACCATGCCAGCCCAAACATTCACCGAAAATGTTTGTTGAAAATGTGCCTGACGGACAGCGTGCGGATTTTCTACTGACCAAACATGAGTGTTGCGAAAGTTATTCACACCATTACGCGTGAACGTAGATTCGTCTGTCACCAATATGCACTTCAAAAAGTCCGGATTATTGTCATGTTGATGCAACAACCACTCATCAAACCGCACTCTTGCTGGAAAATCGTCAGGTTGAAGGGCTTGTACACGTTGGATGTGAAACGGATACAGCCCCTCTTCACGCAGCGTTTGCCACACTTTAGTTTTTGATACTTGCACTTCTCTAGCCACGTCTCTAGTACTTGTTGTTTTTTGAAACGCAATCGATTATACGGATTCGTTTATCTCTACACGCGTGACCGTAACTGTCGGTTGAAGGTTGCATACTGACCTGACACACTGACCCCGACCCCCGACCCAGTTCTGTCGTCGGGTTGAGCTAGTGTCCTAGTACCAGTCGGGAATGTCCCGAGTCGCGGCTACAGGACGGTATTCAGATATTTTTGATGTTGCAGAGCCCTTTATCTCGGTTCCCTTAAGACATTGGTGTATATGGTACTAAGAAAAATTGCTTTTTTCAAGATCTAAACGTCTTGTAAAGGAAAACCCCAACTTTGCGGATACCCTGTATTATTATGTTATTATTATTATCATTTAACATAGTATTTTCAACATATTTCTTAAAATTGTAGCAGGAGGAAACTTGTATTTCGGCACCCGTTCGTTATCTGTCGGTAACTGTATCCAAATATTTTTCTATATTGAATGCCGGGTTAGTGTTATTGGCTATAAATTCCGGTTGACTAATGCCTCTTGTCGGTTAAATAGGATATCTTATACGTACACAGCGCTTTTCCAAAAGTTTCTCCCTCAACATATTCTTTGGCAACCTGAAATTTGAAATGATGAAATTGTTGCATGAATACTCTATTTTATAGCATACAAGTGTCAATTGAAAATTTCAAGGTGGTTTCTGGGCGGAATCTTGAAGCTATCTTTAAGCATGTAACATATGAATTCACCATTTTTCAAAATGGCACTTTGGCAGACTGTCAAAGTTATTATAATCAATCTTTGAAGTATGTGATAAATCCGCCAATTTTTTAAACTGAATATTACATACCTTATTAAACGTTCAGATATACCCTTCTAGAAGACGGAGATTGATATACCACACTACAGCATTCTGACAATCGTGTCCTTGAGAATCCATATGCTAAAATTTTATTCATGTCTCTTCCTAAAAGGTGTCTATCTGACAAGTAAAACACATAATATTCATTTTCGTATTTGGATTCTGAATAAGTGCGTATTCTTGATTAAGGGTAAAAGCTCATTCAAGTCATCAGTGCCTCAATAAATTGGGGCCAGATGGCCCTACATTCTTAGTGTACTCGTTGTCTCCTGTCGACCTTCCTTGTGCTTTACTCTCACATCCTACAGACGTAACTGGGAAAAGAAAACCGCCACTCTGTTAAATCGACCGCAACATCTTTTTACTGACCTCCAGATGGGGTCTGGCTCAGCGCCAACCTCATATCCATAACTTTCTCTTGCACGACGATGTGCCCTACACAAGCAACATCCGGTGGAGTCGAACGAAACACCGGAATACACAGTCAACGGCAAATTGAAACTGAATTAATAATGACCTCTTTTGGCCAACGGGATAGCCGTAGGAGTTCCTTGCAGCCTGCGGCAGTCTCGCAGGTGAATCTTCCTACTAAATGAATCTTTTAAACTCGCTGCTTCTTGGAATTTTATTACTTCCAGCATAAGCGTAGGTGCTCAGATTTATTTATTGAGAGTACTGATTGCATTATTTTATCCTTGTTATTTGCAAGGATAAATTTGCACAAACTTACGGAGCAAACGATGAGCACGATACAAGGCATAAGGGCATTTTCCTCAACATATGCTGAGCTTTACGCATAGAAGCTGCATAAACATGTTTTCTTTTGGTGAAACCAGTTTTGCACTGGTGGATGTTTTATGTTTTTTTAATGAAAACAGCGGATTTTGAACTAGTTTTGCACTCAGAAATAGAGCACTACCTGGAGGACGTCTTCTAATGTTGTCAACTGTAAACAGTGTTTTACAGCTTTTACCTTTTGCTTTGCATGCAGCCTTCTTAACGGCCAGTTTTTATGTAATTTTATCTTCTCTTCTCCGGAAAGTTTTCCATTGACAGACGATAGCGCGAGACCCGAAATAACATCTTTTATATTCTTCTGTTTCGTGTTTAAAACATCAAAACTTCACCCGTTTTGTCAAAAGAAAACGCTATTAAGCTGTACAACAGATAACCTCAACAGTAGAGGGGGCGATGCAAAAATGCATAATATGATGACCATAACTTGATATAGTATTACGGATCATTTTTAATTTATATATTATTTATTATGTTTGATACTTTATTCACACTCTTATTTTTTTCAAATCCTCAACTGCATGGCCGTCTTGTTTTGTCTCAGCGAATATGTTAAACACGTTTTATCTTATATACAAGGAGTTCCTTAATGATATGCGTATATTTAAGGGTGTGAATCTACATGAAAATTTAATGTTAGTTTGCTTACAAAAACTCGGGGTGTTGAAGTTTTTGAAAAAAATGGAAATTAATTAATATTTTCCGAACCGATTCAGATATTTCACTGATATTTAGTACGTAGTGAAAGTTAATAAAGCTGCATATTTTTCAATGCAAAAATAATTTTTTGCTTTAACAGTGGCGTGCGTACGGGTATTGACTTCGATATTTTTTAAGAAAAAAATGGTGCGCCAATGGTTTTTTGCCAAATAAAAATTATTTTTGAATTCTCGATCAATCTAAAACAAATGATCTCTCTTGAATTGTTTTCCTTTGATCCGCTATTTTTGAGTAAAAAGATAAAAACCGTTCTATTGTCTAACTTGCAAAATTATTATTAATTTAATTGGAAAAATTAAACACATTAGGGGTAATGAACAAAAAAAACTGACAAGATCAACATGACATTAAAACCAACGAAATGATTACAAAAATGGTTGAAAATGGCCCCTTCACTTAGTATGCATGCTTCCGCCCTCCTTCTCGTGGAATTGCGCACTCGTTGAAATATCCCTGGTGTGTTATTTATCACAAGCTGCAACTATTCTTCCTCTTAATTCCTCTACAGTGTTAATGGGACTTGTGTACACTAGTGTCATAAGATAGCCCCACAAACAGAAATCTAAACTGTTGAGGTCTGGGGAACTTGGTGGCCATTCTTGGGGCCCACCGCGGCCAATCCAGCGATTTGGATAAACCGTTTGTAAATAACTACGAACCGCTACACTGAAATGCGCTGGTGCACCATCATGCATGTACCACATATTGTTTCTTATTACTAACGGAACATCATCAAGCAGCAAAGGCAAGTCGTCCCGGCAAGAAGAATGGGCCAATAAAGTGGTTGCCAATAATTCCTGCCCATACTTTAACCAAAAATTGGTGTTGGAAATGGGTTTCGGTTACGGCATTGGGATTTTCTTCTGCCCACAAATGATTATTGTGGAAATTTTGAATGGCATTTCGAAAAAGATTAGCTTCGTCCGTGAACAAAATCATTGATTCAAATTGCAGATTTTGTGTAATTTTTTGAAGATACGACTGACAAAAGGTCACACGCCTTGGAAAATCAACGGGAAGTAATACCTGTACTCTTAAAATATGGTAAGGATCTAACAAAAAATCCACTAAAATTCTCCAAACAATTTGATGGCAAATATTTAAGTGTCTAGCGATCTTCCTCGTACTCAATTTCAGTTGTTCTCACACTTAGGCCCGTATCGTCAGTCGTCCCTACAATTGTAGGGCGCGTTTATGGCCTCCTTGATTGTCATACTCCTTTTTCTCCTTCAAAAATTTCTAGATTGCACCTGTCCCGTGTCAGCGTCAGCGCTCTCCTATTGTGAAGATATGATTTCTTTTTATGTTGTAGGCAATTTCAGGCTGATAAAACATGATATAACACAATTTGATGCAAATAGATGTTTGTGACATAACCTCAAAATAGAGCGCTGACCTGGAGAACTAGGAAACTATGACAATCAAGGAGGCCATAAAGGCGCCCTACAATTGTAGGGACGACTGACGATACGGGCCTAAGAGGTCTACCTTCAGATGTTCCTGATGTTTCAACAAGACGACGATGGATATTAGAAAAGGTTCCACTATCTGGCAAAGCACGATCGGGATATCTCTGGTGATAAATCCGTCTGGCTTGCTCACCATTACCGTCGGCAAGGCCATATACGTATTTCTGCATTTGAATAATTCACCATTATTAACAATATTGTAAAAACTAAATAATGAAGAAGATGTCACAGCGAACATATTTGAATAACAAAGACTTGTCAGATGTCAAAAGCCAGTGACATATTCCAGAGCAACTAGATATTTACTGCTAAATTTCATTCTTCAATTATTACATTAATTTTCACGGACAACAGAACGGTTTTTATTTTTTTACTCAAAAATGCCACATCGAAGAAAAACAATTAAAGACATAACATTTGTTTTAAATTGAACGGGGAATTCAAGAATAATTTTTATTTGGCATAAAACCATTGACCTACCATTTTGTTCTTCAAAAATATCGAAGTCAATACCCGTAAGCACGCCACTGTTGGAACTAAAAATTATTTTTGCATTGATAAATATGCAACTTTATTAACTTCCACTACTTACTAAATATGAGTGAAATATCTGGAGCGGCTCTGAAAATAGTAATAAATTTCCTTTTTTTTCCTAAAACTTCAACACTCCGAGTTTTTGTAAGGAAACATGTTTGGACCATAGCTTCTAAGGCAAACTAACATTAATTTTTCATGTAGATTCTCACCCTTGAATATTCGCATATCATTAAGGAACATCCTGTAAATGCAAATAAAGCTTATTATATTGATAAAGATATAAAATCGGTTGGTCTAATTTTTAGTACAAGCATTTTGTCATACTAATTTTTGAAGAGTACCGTCGCATGACGGTCTTATAATACCGAAAAGCTGGCAAAAAATAAAATGTCTATGGCATTCACGCTATTTTCAGCACGACCAGGTTTTTAGATCGCAGGTTTTAAATCTGAAGTAATTTGCCTCGATGAGAGCATTTTCAAAATAAGCGAAACAGTTGAGCCCAACCTGGTATCGTTTAATTCTCCTGGTTACTAGATCCGAATCAGAAGTCAATTACTCACTATGGGTACATTTGAAGGCCATTTTAGAGTCACTTCAAGGACAAATTAACAATAAGGCTAGCATTCCAGTCCAGGCGTATCATATTAGTTTTCGCGATCGTTGAGTCCAAACCAGAGAAAACTTTGTATCTAGGAAGACAGTTGGAGGACATTTTAAAGCCACTCAAACAATAAATTCATAATAAAAGTGGAATGATCATTTCCGAACACTAGCCATAATGTGGCAGTGTACATATGTATAAGATTATATTTCTCACTACTTTGAACACTGACACTAAATACAGGTATTCTGTGGCAGTACTACAAGGTTCACAAACACCATTTATTCCAATTGGGGCAAAGAACGCAACCTTATTAAAAACTTCTCTGAATAATACTGATATAAAGAGGTGAAGCTAAAAATAGTAATCCTTTCAATTCACAGAGTACATGAAAAAGCAATAATAACAGGGTTCTATTACATCGAATGAAAGTTCGTACTTTCTTTTTTTATGATCCATGTTCAAATGTTCAAATATGTTCAACACATAACACAAGGAATAAACCTGTTCTCCAATTTTGTCGTTAAAAAGTAGTGTGGAATGATAAATCACAAGCTTCAAGCTTTATAGTCTACCATGGTAAAGGTAGTTTAAGCTCAGTTCTGATTCCATGGCAAATTTATTATCTAAGGTATTAAATTTATAATATGTATCGATTTCCGTTCATTTTCGATACTTCTTTTTTTCAATCTTTTCCCGGTTTTCACATAGACAGACCGCTGTGCGTCTGTTGCTATTTTATTAAAAACTAAGGCGGTAAAGGAGATACTTGCAAAAATCTTCAAAAGCCAAAGTTGATGTGACACTTTAGTTATTATTTTCAATGGTTATTTCAAACCGTATCTTTAAACTTGTGAATCTCAGTCGTATTCACGGAATTTTTCTGTGCCAAAATTACTGATTTTTGCTATTTTTGTCGTTTATAGACAACGTTAATGGAGCTCCAGTGATATTCACAACTTAAGTTTTCATCGTTGATGTCACTTCTCAGGTTGTCGAATGATTCATTTGGGGATCCTAAAGGTGGTTATTTTCTAGGTGACAACACGATTAGAGTAATTCTTTATTCCGCCGTCGTTAAATCTCCGTTTTACCTCCCTTCTTCCTTCTGAGCACACCCATGATTTCCGACTCTATATTGCATTACTCGGAACCGTCTAATGCATGTGGAATCCTGGATGGTGCTTCTTTTATCTTTTTTTGGAAAAAAGCGGGCATATGAGGGATGCCGTTTAGAGGCGTTCTAGCTTAACCCTTAACTACGGACATGGAGTCTCGTAGACTCCGCCGCGCAAATATCGTACCGTACTCACAACAAAAAACACCCAAGGTCAACGCCGCTTCGAGTAGCTTCCGCTTTTTCACTTTGCTACAGCGTGTTGAGGTGATTACTTAGCATTTATTTTTGATTTTGGAGTTACGTACATTTCAGAGTCTGACAGACTCCTTGTCCGTGTTAACGTCAGTATAG